GATACCTGTTAACTTGTGTCAATTAACAAATGCATCCCTGAATGCCAGTCTATAGCAGGAAATTTGGAGGACTTCTGTCTGGCTGATGGATTTGAAGAGGTCCATATTTGTTCCCATTCTCAAGAAAGATGATCCAACAGAATGTGGAAACTATCAAACAGTATCATTAATATAATATACTCGCAAAATACTGCTGAAGATCATTAAAAAATGGCTAGAACAGTACATAGATAGGGAACTTCTAGAATTTCAAGCAGGATTTAGAAGATTCCATGGCACCAGGGATATCCTTTCTGATGTCAGATGGATCCTGACTAAAAGTAAGGAATACCAGAAGAATGTAGATTTGTGCTTTCTTGACTGTGCAAAAGTGTTTGACTGTGTGGATTATAACAAGTGTGGCTGACATTGAGACGAATGGGAACCCCAGAGAACTTAAATGTGCTCATGAAAAACCTATACTTGGACCAAGAGGTTGTTCTGGGAACAGAGCAGGAAATCACTGCATGATTTACAATTAACAAGGGAGTGTGTCAGGGTTGTATTCTCTCTCCATACCTATTCAGTCTGTATACTGAGCAGACTATTTCAGAAACTGGACTCTATGAAAAGGAATGTGGCATCAGGAATGGAGGAAGACTCATCAATAACCTGCATTGTTCAGATGACAAACTTGGCTTGCTGCAAGTGAGGAGGACTTCGAATACTTGTTGCAGAAGATCAAGGAATGCAGCCTGTTGCAGAAGATCAAGGAATGCAGCCTTCTGTGTGGATTGCATCTCAGTGTCAAGAAAACAAAGATTTTTACTACTGGATTGATAGGCAAAATCATGATAGAGAAGACATTGAAGCTGTCAGCAACTTCATCTAATTTGGATCCATAATTAACACCTTTGGTACCAGCAATCAGAAAGTCAGGAGACACATTACATTGGGAAAGTCTGCAGTTAAGGATCTTTCCAAATTATTGAGGTGTATTGATGTCAGTTTGAGGACTAAAGTGTGTCTGATTCAGGCCTTTCTTACCCAATTCATGGTCTTTCTGATCACTTGTTATACATCTGAGAGCTGGACGGTGAATAAGAATGGCAGAATAAGAGTTGATGCCTTTGAACTGTGGTGTTAAAGAAGAGTATTGAACATCCAGTGGACTGTCTAAAGAACAGATATATCTTGGACAGAGTCAAGCCAGAGTGATGTTTGGAGGCAAAGATGATCACGCTTTGCTTCACATACTTTGGGCATGTTGCTAGGAGGGGCTGTTCTTTGGAGAGGAACATGATGCTATGAAAGGCAGAGGGTAGGTGAAGGAGAGGAAGACCCTCGGCCAGGTGTATTGACACGGTACCAGCCTCGTGGGCTCAAATGTGTCAGGAGGTGTGCGAATGGCACAGGATACAATAAAGTTCAGATCTGCGGTTCATAGGGTCATTATGGATCATTCTCGACTTGACAGCACCTTAAAACAGCAACAACAACTGTGGGTAGGAAGTTGTGCTTCCAACTCAAAGGCAAATCCATCGAATCCAGCAGCCACTCCACCCAAAGAAGGTGGGCAGTCTCTTTCCATGCTTTTTTATAGCTTCTGAAAACCCACTGGAGGGTCAGCTGTAAGTCAACTCCAATTCTTCAGCAGTGAGTGTGAATATTTGTAGTATTAATGCTCTTCAATCATTCCATTTCATTTTTATTACATCATGTTTCTTTGATTCAAATTATATACATTATATATTCTTATTATTAATGAAAAGTCATAGACGTTTCTGCTCATTTTGAGGTGAGGTCCATCAGCAGATTACAATCCTGAGAGCTTTCCTCCTTCCCAGTCATATTTAGAATGCCTTTCAACCTGAAGGGAGCTCTGGCGCCCAAGTCTGTAGGGATTTGTGCTGCTAACCCAAGGCCATACATGTCTCTCTAGCAGTTCAAATCACTAGAAATGGTTTTCTGAGGAAGAAATGTGGGCAGTCTCCTTGTGTGTGTTTTTCAGCCTTTGAAAACCCACTAGAGGGTGTCACCTATGAGTTGGTGCTGACTTGACAGCAATGAATTTTCAACCTGAAGAGTATATCTCTCTAACTCTGTCAGATCCTTTTCCCTGCTAATACAAAGATTTTACTGGTCAAGTTCTCCTCACCACAGTCTTTTCTCACTTTGGAAGCTCTGCACCCACCTACTATGAGAAACCCTCCTAGCACTTGAAGCAATTTCTAGCACAGGTTGCAACATCACAATAACATGCAAGCCACTATGACAAACTAGCAAAAGATTGGTAACCACTGTCTAGTAGGTTGACATGAAATCAGTCAATTAAATGAGTTTTAGAACTACCCCAAATGTATCACCCTCTGAACATTCAAGGATCTTCCATGTCTTCAGGCTTTGATTTTCAAAAGAAGGCTTATATCTTTAATACATAGCCACATGGCCTACCTACCTACTCTGTGCATGCAGGCCCACACTTTGAGAATGAAGGTATTGGGGGGGAAAATCACTAGTGAGGCATACAACTTGGTTCATTTCTCCTCCTAGAAAGCTAGTCTTCGTGTGCCTTTTCATATCCCTCTGTCATTTACTGTATCCTCCATCCCTATACCTGGAACACACAAAATCTTTTAATGTCTCTGAATTCCCTACTGTGCCCTCTTCTGTCACCCACTCACCATGGAATGATCTTTAACTCTTGAACAATGGGGTGAAACTATACAAGACACTTAGCAGAATCTTAGGGGAATGTACCCAATTCAGAAAAGCATTTTTTTGAACATATTTTTTTTGTTTGTTTGGTTGGGTTTTTATTAATTTTAATGAAAGTTTACAGAAACTTGTCTTTAGCACCATCCCTCTGTTCCCCATTTTCTGTCAATAGTCCAGGAAAATCAGCTTTAAAGAACAGAACCTCAGAAACTGAAGTGTGTTTTAAACACAGAAAGTACTGAAATTGCAGATTTATTAGTGCTATCTCATAACTGTAATGAGACAACAATATGAGATGAAATAGGAAATTTGTTGCTAATTAACCAAATGAGAACAAAATGAGCACTAGAAATTTGAAATAAGGAATTCAGTTGCCAAGAAATTTTATATTGACATCAGGACATTATGAGATTAGTTTTACCAAACCCAACCGACTGTCAGCAAGTTATTTACAACTCATAGCAATTCTCCATTGGGTTTCTAAGGTTATAAACCTTTACAGAAGGAGACTACCCATTTTTTTTTTCTTCTGAGAATCAGCTGATGGTCTAGAACCACTGACCTTTTTGGTTGGCATCCTGCTGAAACCTGTGCTATATCATCAGGGCTCCTGAGATTTTGTAGTTGTTAAGTACCATCAAGTCGAACACTACTTATTGCAACTCTATGAACAAAAGATCTTAACCCTGTTCTATAACTATTGTTGTTTCTTTAATGTTCATAGAGTTTCCAGAGGCATGTTGTTTAGGTAGTGGATGCCAATCCTGCTTCCAAGCCTGTCTTAATCTGGGAGCTGTACTAAACACTGCCCACCATGGGTAACCATTATGGCATTTGACTTACCAGTGGCACAGCTTTCAGTATCATAGCAACCCCAAGATAATAAAGTAGACTGACAGTGGTGTACCACTTAGAAGAATGTTCTTTCCAAACACAATTAACATCAGGCCCAAGGACCCAATCGACTTTTAAATACAAAGACCCACTCACCAGGTCCTGATTTAGTTAAACAAGAGGCTTTCCAGCCCACAGCTAAATATAGTAAATCCAAGAGATCAATCAGCTCACAGTTGTGCATGAAATAAAAAAAAAGTGAACAAACAGTTTACACTCAACTTTCAGCTAAAGCAAGAGAATCTACCCTCTAGAATATAGCTGCTTCATATAGGGGCCTTCAGACTGGATACTTAGTCAGGGCCCAACTGACTTTTAAATACAAAGGCCCACCCACCAAGTCCTGAAATTAATTTTAGGGAAAGGGGGAAAAAATCAGTAAAGATGAAATCAAGTTGAATTTTTATACATGTAATACAGCATGAAGACTATTGATGTGTTTGGAGTAGTTATCCTACCGCAAAAAAGACAGTAAACAAAAAACACATTTCATGGTACAACAGAAGGAAAAAGGTTTCAAAATAAACTAATATCTTATACTATTATCATTATTACTAACAAAGAGGATCATTATGCTCTAAGAAAATACATTTTAAAGGTATATACATTGCTTCTTTTAAGCAGACTCCTGCTTATATATTATTAAACTTCAAAATTAAAGCATATACAGACAGAAAAATCCAAGCAAAATACATTTTAAATGTATACATTGCTTAATTGAAGCTCACTCCTACTTACATTATTAAACTTCAAAATTAAAGAATATACAGACAGAAAAAAACAACCCTCCTTAAAAATAAGAAGTAGGAACAGAGTTTGGAAGGAACACATTAGTGTATTTGAGCCAATTATGTCTTCGGATAGAAACTGAGAGTAAGCAACTACATAACAGATTGTAAATGATATAAACTTTGAGGAGAGTGTCCATTTATATGAAATTGGAACATGCAGTTCAAAAACTTGGTTTAAGAGATATTGGTATGAAGTAAGATCCCTTACCAGTAGTGTTCTTGCTGTTTTGTGTCATCCAGTTGAGTATGACTCATAGCAACTTTGTGAACAACTGTGAACTTTGCCCTATCCTACACCATCCTCGTCATGTGACACAGTGGCACATGCCCATTGCTGCAGTCATTTTGTCAGTCCATCTCATTGAAGTCTTTCTCTCTTTTGCTGACCATTCACCTTTTCCTAGCATGGTGTCCCTCTTCAAGGAATACCCTCTCCTAGCAACATGCCCAAAGCATGTGAGATGAAGATGCTTCACTGTCCTGGCCTCTAAGGAACACTCTGGTTATACCTTGTCCAAGACATAACTGTTTGTTCTTTTGCCACTCCGTGGGATATTCAGTACTTTCCTTCAACACCATAATGCAAAGGCATCAATTTTTCTTCTGCCGTATAATGACATGTTACTGTCCAGCTCTCAGAAACACGGGTGCACCTTAATATTCAAACTGGCATTGCTCCTCAGTACTTCGGAGAGTTCCCTGAATGCAAACCAACCCAGTACAGCCTCTGGTTTCTTGACTGCTGTCATCAAAGGTATTGAATGTAGATTGAAGTAAGATGAAATCATTGTTTTCTCCATCTATCATGATGTTGCCTGTTAGCCCAGTGGTGAAGATTGTTTTCTTGGTGTTGAGATGTAATCCATATTGAAGACTGTAGTCTTTGATCTTCTGCAGCAACTGCTTCAAGGCCTCCACACTTTCAGCAAGTAAAGTTGTGTCATCTGCATAACATAGGTTGTTGATGAGTCTTCCTTCTATCCTAAGAACATACTTTTCTTCATAGATTCCAATCTCTCGAAATACTTGTTCAGCATACGAATTGAATAGTTATGTAGAAAGGATACATCCCTGATACTCACCTTTCTTGATTTTAAACCATGCAGTATTCCTCTCCTTTGGACAGCATCTTCCTGGTCTAGGTATAAGTTTCAAATGAGCATGATTAAATGTTCTGTGATTCCTATTCTTCTCAATATTAACCATATTTTGTTATGATCCATACAGCCAAATGTCTTTGCGTAGTTGATAAAACACAAATAGACATTCTTCCAGAATCCTCTATTATATATTAAGAACCATCTGACACCCTCACTGATATTTCTGCTGCCATGGCCTCTTCTAAACCCAGCTTAAATTTCTGGCAGTTCTCTATCAGTGTCCTGTTCCAGCAGTTTTTGGATGGTCTTCAGTATTTTGCTTGCATATGGTATAATTTCTACATTCTGTTGGATCATCTTTCTTGGAAATGGGATCAAATAAGGCCTCCTTCCAGTCAGTTGGCCAGGAGGCTATCTTCTAGATTTCTTGGTACAAACTGATGGTGAGCACATCCAGGGCTGTATCTTTTAGTCAAACATCAATTTATATTCCATTGAGGAAAACTGGGGCCTTACATTTTCATTTTACGAGTATCTTCAGTACAGTTTGAATTTCTTCCCTCATTACCATTGGTTCTTGATCATTTGATACTTCCTGAAATATTTCAGTGTTGACCAATTCTTTTTGGTACAGTGACTCTGTGTATCCCTTTCATATTCTTTTATTTATTTCTTTTTCCTTCCATTGTCTTTTGATGCTTCCTGAATCATTGAAGATTTTGCCCATAGTATCTCCTCCTACTGGAACTTGAGGCTTGGACTTGTTTTTCAGTTCTTTCAACTTTAGAAATGCCAAGCAAATTCTTCTCATTTTGTTTTCTTCCTCTAGCTTTTTGCACATTCTGTTATAATACTTTGCCTTCTCAAACTGCTCTTTGAAATCTTTTCATCCTCTTTTTCACTTCTGCTTTTGGATTCCCTTTTTTTAGAGTCTCTTCTGCCTTCCATTTTGGTCTTTTCTTCCTCCTCTATGTAATGGCCTTTTGCTTTTTTTATGGATGATATCCTTGATGTCATCCCACCTCATCTGGTCTGCCTTCATTGTTAGTGTTCAGTACCTCAAACCTTTTCTTGTGATGATTTTTAAATTCAGATGGGATACACTTAAGATCATAGTTTGGTGCTCATGGAATTGCATGATCTTCTTCAGCTTCAGTTTGAAATTGTGCCTGAGTAATTAATGATCTGTTTCATGATCAATGTCTGGGCTGGTTTTGACTGCTGATATTTCTGTCATCAACTCTGTATTTTCCAACCACTGTTACCTGTCACTTGTTTCCAATTTTACCATTCCAGTTACCAATTGTTATTAATATGTTGTATTTGTATGTTTGGTCAATGTCAAACTGCAAAAGTTGGTAGAAAGCCTTCATTTCCTTTTTTCTGGCTATAGCTGATAGTGTGTATATTTAAATAAAAATGGTATTAGCAGGCCTTGTAAGCTCATGGATAGTATCCTTTTCCTCACAGCATTGAACTTCAGGATAAACCTTCACTTGATCTTTTTAACTATGAATGCAAAACCATTCTTCCTCAATTTTTCATTCCCAGAATAACAAATGATATAATTATCTTATTCAGTGTGTCTAAAGCTAAGTCCATTTCAGCTTGTTAATGCCTAATATTTCAGTCTTTGTGCAGTCTGGTTTTTTTTTAACAATGTCTTGATTTTCCTACTTTCCACATTCCAATTATTAGTGGATGTTTGCAACTGTTCTTCATTTTTTAGTTTCTTCTAATTTGACAGCTGTATCTCCAGTGCTATACCTACTTGTCTAATTGTGTAACTGTTCTCTGTTTTTCATAAGGTTTCTGAAGGCATGTTATTTCAAATGTGGAGGGTCAGTTCTTCCTAGTCTGTCTTAATCTGGTAGCTCTCCTTTGGTACAGCATCTAACAGACAAGCCCAAAAGTTTAGTTATTAATAAGTAAAAAATGTATCTTAGGTTTTAAAGTAAATATCAGCATAAATTTCTTCTAAGCCTAAAAATTTTATTGTTCTTAAAACATGTGTGTGTGTTGTTGATTGTCGTCAAATTGAGCATGACTCATAGTGACCCTATGAACAGAGGACCTTAAGCCTTTCTATAAGTATTGTTGTTTCTCAAAGTTCATAGGGTTTCCAGAGGCATGTTGTTTAGAAAGTGGATGCCACTCTTGCTTCCAAACCTATCTGAAATTGGGAGGTCCACCAAACACTGCCCACCCTAGGTAACCATTATGGCATTTGACATCCCAATACCTCAGTACAGCAGATTGACAGAAGAATGCTATACATATATCTCTATCTCTATATCTATCTATATTATCTATATCTATCTATATCATCTCTATCTATCTATAGCTATATATCCATCCTCTCTGAATCAGCCTGTATCCCTACAGTCACAGTCCACCACCCATCCATTTTTAAACATAGTTTATTTGTAAGAATTTTCTCCCAATTAAACTTGGTTAAGTGACATTTCTGAATGTTTTGCTTTTGAATTGAATTTTTGCAGTTTTCATTGAACTTTTGACATTCTTTCAGTTAATAAAAAACCAAACTTTTTTTGTTAAATATAAAATATGAATGTAATCCTAAAAGGTAAAGTATGTACAACACATCACTGCATCCTAAGCTTCTAGTTTAGTAGGTCTTCCATGAGTCCAGGTGTCATCTTCAGTCTCTGTTCATCTGCCCCTTTGAGAATTGCTGTTCCTCTAAGTGACTCCCCATCCCTGTGTTTATGTTTATTTTAACATCCCACATGAGTTTTTCTTTTGTTATAAGACATCTCCAACTTTGTTTTGCAAGTGGGTGGGGAAACCACTCACCTTGAATGCCGAGTATAACTTTTCATTTTGCACATTGGCCGGATGAAAATTCATCTTGAAGAGGAGGACTCAGCAGACCGACATTATTTTATAAATGAATGAATTGAAGAAGAAAAGAAGACTTACCAGTATTGTTTTGTGAAAATACCAACAATGCTAATGCATTTTCCTGCCATTATTCTTGACTCAAATATTTCAGTCATGAGACTAATTTTACTTTGTTTTGCCTTTCTAATTGATTATGGTGGGTAAATGCATTTTTAATAGATTAGTATGCTTATGGATGTTCTTACTTGTGGGTGCTTGTTAAACTTCTGTATTATACCTCATAAACTAATGTTAGAAGATGACAAATTTTTTTAAATTTTAGTCTTGAAGAAATGCCAAGCAGTGCTTATGGTATACACAGTTTAGTCTAATATGCATTTCAAATATGTATATTGCAGAAGCTGTTTAACGATGATAGAGGACTAAAGATTTGAATTTTCTTTTTTTTAAATTATTAAATTTTATTAGTTTTAGTGAACATTTACAGAGATTTTGGGTTTTCATTCATTCATTGTTGCACTGTTTAGATTTGAATTTTCTTGTTTCTAAGTAATGATATAAGCTTAAATCATTTTAGTTGATATGCCCAAAACTCAATGAATGAAAACCAAATTATAATAGGTAATTACTACTTAAAAATATAATAGTTGATGGAGATTGTGGTAGAATAATGACATTAAAATGACTTCTTGTAAGTACAGGTATGAATGAAAGTATCCCATCTGTTACCTCCTATTAAAATTTTTATCTACCACTAAAGGAAAACATTTAAAAATTTTGTACAGCAAAAAAGGTCATTTCTTTTTAAATGATGGTCACTATGACTTTTTAATTTTGTTGGTGAGAATCCACAAATAATTGGGTCATTTCACCTTCATGTTTTTCTCTACACAATAGAATTACTGTGTTAACAATAGTTCATGATTGTACAGACTAAAGTATCACGATTGTTAGGTATATTTGCTCTAAAAATTTATTTTGTCGTAGACCTGTTTCAGAACAGTGTACAGTGTAGTTCGTAGATGCCTAGTTAGAAATTTGCTGAGACATTTCCTTTTAATAATACTTAATGTAGTAAGGATGTTTTCTAGCATTAGTTGGTTTAATTTCCCTTATAAATCAGTCTTTTCAAACCATTGTGTGCAGCCCTTGGCTGTAAGAGTGAAAGGAGGAGTCAAGTTTACCTTTGAAAGTCTAGTTCCAGGTCTGGTAGATAGGGATCAGGAGATGAACACACAATTCTAGAAATGCTCAGTCAGGTTTTTACATGGTTATATAGAGTTCAATTAGCAACATTCTTAAGATTGCCAGAGTGTTAGAATGCAACTTTAAAATAGACTTTCCTTAAACTACCTTCTTCATTTGTCATAATGTATTAATGATGTTGTTTAACCATAGTGATCCTCCATTGAGTTTTCAGAGGCTGTTAACCTCACAGGAGATTGCCCATCCTTCTCAAAAAGAACAGCTAGTGGATTTGAACCATGTGCCTTTGGGAGTACAGCACAGTTTCTTACCACTAGTCCACCAGAGTTCCCTTACATAGTCATGCTAGTACTTTTATATAAAAACCCATAATGGCATATGTGTATATATGTATACACACACACACAAATTTACATATACATTTTGTCTATTTCTCTCAACAGAAATCTTAGAGGCTGGTATTAAAGGAACATCAGAATCACTGAAAGGTGTGAAAAGGAAAAAGATTGTAACTGAGAATCACCAGAAGAAAATACCCAAGTCACCACTGAGAAATCCTCTTCAGGCAAAACAGAAACAAAACACAGAAGAGTTATCTTCCACTGTTCTTCAGAGTACTTCTGAGTCACACAAAAATCAAAACCATATTCCTATAAAAAATGGAAAGCAAACTACTAAACAGAATGGAGAAACACCTGGAATAATTACCGAAGCCTCTAAGTCTGAAGAACCAGCCTCCCCACAGAAGCCCTTGGTTGTAAACCACCCCTCAGAACTGCGCAGATGGAGGTCAGAAGGTGCTGCACCCGCCAAGTTAAACTTCCTCGATGACAATTGTGATTCTAGCTCTTTATTAAGCAAAACCAGGACTGACAATAGTGAATGTATCTCTCCTCGCTGTAGTACTAATTCTTCCTCTTACACAAATACTGCATTTGATGTCTTACTGAAAGCAATGGAGCCAGAACTGAGCACCTTATCACAAAAGGGCTCATCTTGTGCAATTAAGGAAGAAAAACTGAGACCAAATAAAACTGTATGCTCTCCCACTAAGTTGAAAAACAATCTAACAGAGGCTCCCGATCAGACGTCCCAAGAAATTGTCAGTGTATCACAGTCCTCTCCTTGTACCTCATACACAGTGCATGTGCCTGCCTCTCAGAAGAACGAGCAAGCAATGGTCCAGCCACTGTCTCGTTCATATAACACCCATGAACACTTTGTTTCTAAATCTGCCCAGCCCAGCCACCAGCTCCCAGTGTGCCCAGGTTTCACAAGATCTCTGACAAATCTACAAACTCAAGAGACCACCAGACTTGAACAAATTTATAGTATCACAGTACCATCATCGATTGGTCTGACTCCACCTTCCAGTAGAACTCAGGTTATTCCTCAAAACCAGCAAATGGATTCTGCTCCACCTATTTCAATAAGCCCAGCAAGTTCCATACCTCCCTCCTCCACGCCCGTTTATAATTCAACTCCCTTGGCCTCTGTTGTCAATCACAGTGTAGAACAAATGTGCAATCTTCTTCTGAAAGATCAGAAGCCAAAAAAGCAAGGAAAATACATTTGTGAGTATTGTAATCGAGCTTGTGCAAAACCTAGTGTGCTTTTAAAGCATATCCGCTCACACACAGGAGAGCGGCCCTACCCCTGTGTGACCTGTGGGTTTTCATTTAAGACTAAAAGTAACCTGTATAAGCACAAAAAATCCCACGCGCACACTATCAAACTGGGGCTTGTCTTACAATCTGATTCAGGTGGCTTGTTCATCTCCCAGGAGTCCCCCAAAGCACTTGGTGTCCACTCAGACATAGAAGACAGTGGTGAAAGCGAAGATGAGGGCACTACTGATGAAAGACACAATGACTCAGGGCCCATGGAACTGCAGTCTGTGCATATACTGAAAATGGTAGCCAATCCTGAAGCCTCATCAAAAGTGAGTTCCAGTCCTAGCAATCCAGATCACTTGGTGGGCGACTTTTCACAACAAGAAAAACCATCTGAATCACAGGCTTTGTCCAAGCTACCAAAAGTTGTGGTCCACCCTGTCACCATGCCCCCTTTAAAGGTGGAAAGTTCAAAAGTGGCAGAGTCCATGCCTGAACTTGCCAGTGCCCAGCAGCAGAGGGACCACCCAGTGACAAAGGAACTGCCCAAATCAGCATGTGTGTCCTCGCTGGAGACAGAAGAAAAATCCTTTCTTACCAGGGATGTGAGCCACCCAGAAAGTAAACAGGAATCTCACGTGGGAACAGTGCATGCCCAGTTACAAAGGCAGCAGGCTACTGATTACTCCCAAGAGCAGCAAGGGAAACTCCTGAGCCCTCGAAGTCTAGGAAGCACAGACTCTGGCTATTTCTCACGTTCAGAAAGTGCCGACCAAACAGTGAGCCCACCAGCACCCTTTGCCAGAACGTTACCATCCACTGAACATGAGTCAAAGAAGAGCAGTGGACCCTCTGCCCCTCGCCCCAGTGCACCAGCGCCTTCTGCTTTACCAGCTTGTGAGAAGCCTCCACTTTTACCTGGTCAGATGCGCCCACCATTGGCAACAAAAACCCTGGAAGAACGGATATCAAAGCTCATCTCAGACAATGAAGCCCTGGTTGATGATAAACAACTAGATAGTGTAAAACCACGGAGAACGTCTCTCTCAAGACGAGGGAGTATCGATTCCCCCAAATCATATATATTTAAAGATTCTTTTCAGTTTGATTTAAAGCCAATGGGCCGAAGAACAAGCTCAAGCTCGGATATACCAAAGTCCCCTTTTACCCCAACTGAGAAATCAAAACAAGTTTTCCTTCTGTCTGTACCTTCTCTGGACTGTCTACCTATCACTAGAAGTAATTCTATGCCCACCACTGGATATTCGGCAGTACCTGCAAACATAATACCTCCCCCTCACCCCTTGAGAGGAAGCCAGTCATTTGATGACAAAATTGGCTCTTTGTATGATGATGTCTTCATATCAGGACCCAACACTTCCATGCCCCAAAGTGGACATCCCCGTACACTTGTCAGGCAAGCAGCAATAGAAGACTCTTCAACAAATGAAAGTCACATTTTCGGTACTGGGCCATCGGTGGATGAAAGCCTTCAGGGATATAATGCCACTGGGGAAACAGTACCAGCCAGGAACAAGTCGCTAGCACAGGGATCAGCTTTGGAGAAAAAGAAGTCCCACCAAGGGCGAGGAACAATGTTTGAGTGTGAAACCTGTCGAAACAGGTATCGGAAATTGGAAAATTTCGAAAACCATAAGAAATTTTACTGTTCAGAGTTACATGGACCAAAAACAAAGGTGGCTGTGAGGGAACCAGATCACAGCCCGGCACCCAGCAGCACACATCCGCAGATCCTCCACTACAGAGTTGCAGCTGCTACTGGTGCCTGGGAACAGACACCCCAAATAAGAAAAAGGAGGAAAATGAAAAGTGTCGGTGATGACGATGAGCTTCAGCAAAATGAAAGTGGACCGTCTCCCAAGGACTCTGAAGGTCTTCAGCTTCCACATCCTCTGGGTTCCACTAACAGTTTGTCCAAACACAATGTTGTCCCAGCAGGTGACTCCCAGCACAGAAGCATCCCTCTTCCCACCTCACAAATTCAGCTTGTGGCCAGGGGCACTGACCACGCAGTTGATCCAAAGCTGGCCACTATCGTGGAGCAGCAGATCAGTTCAGTTGCTCAGGATAAAATGGAATTGAAAAGACATGGAGCTGGGATCTCAGTCATACAGCACACAAATTCGCTGAGCAGACCCAGTTCATTTGACAAGCTTGAGTCCTTTGAACGAGGCTCCCCTGCCTCCTTTCAGGAGCTGAGTAGGACAGTGAAGGCTGGGTCTGTGACTGCAGTAGAGGTTCCTCAAGAGGACAGCCATCTTTCCCCAAATGCCTCTCAGCCTCACCAGCCTGTCTTGTCAGACACTCTTAGAGGAGAGCCTTCAGAAAGTTCCAGAAAGATCTCAAATGAAAGAAATGTGTTAGGACAGCCATCGAGACTTGTCCGGCAGCATAATATCCAAATCCCAGAAATCTTGGTCACAGAAGAGCCAGATCGAGACCTCGAAGCCCAAGGCCACGAGCCAGAAAAATCAGAAAAGTTCAGTTGGCCTCAACGAAGTGAAACCTTGTCAAAATTGCCCACAGAAAAACTGCCACCAAAAAAGAAGAGGCTTCGTCTGGCTGAGATTGAACATTCCTCAACAGAGTCAAGTTTTGATTCCACTCTGTCCAGGAGTTTAAGTAGAGAGAGCAGTTTGTCACATACCTCAAGTTTCTCAGCTTCACTAGACATCGAGGACATTTCTAAAACAGAGTGTTCCCCCAAAATCGATTTTCTAAATAAAGCAGAGTTTCTGGTGATTCCAGCTGGCTCAAATACACTTAATGTGCCTGGAGCTCACCAGGAAATGAGACGGGCTGCGTCAGAGCAGATTCATTACATGCAGACGTCCATGGAAGTTTCTGATTTCAGAAGCAAGTCATTTGACTGTGGAAGCCTGACTCCACCACAAACCATGCCACTGGTGGATCTGCAGCCTCCAGCATCTCCATCTGGGATGGGGGTCACAAGGCACGTGCCACTCTTAGAGCGAAGAAGAGGCCCCCTGATACGGCAGATATCTTTAAATATAGCTCCAGACAGTCATGTGCCTCCTATGAACCCACCATCTTTCCAAACTGTTGCTCCTTCACTTGTCACCCCAGGGCCATTTCAGGGACCTCAAGTAACCAGCACATTGTTGGCTGAGTTTCCCACAAATGCTTTGCATTCCCAGACCAAAATTAAAGATCTGCGACCTGAAACATCTAAATCCACCTCTACTCATACTTTGCCTCTTCAGCAGCATTTTGGTCTGAATGTGCTAAATAAAATCCGCACCCTTCCTAACCACCAAAATGCCCAGTCATCCCTGAATGTAGCTGCACAGGTGGACAGACCAGATGCAAGTTCCCCTCCATGTGCATCTTCTAAAAGTGAGGATTGCTTTGCACCCAAGTACCAACTTCAGTTTCAGGTTTTAACATCAAGCCAGTCTTACTCTTCTAATCCTGTGCATTCTTTGCCAAGTCAGGTTCTTTCAGAGCAAAGTGGTGCAGACCCCAGCATGACTTCACCAGCATTACCAACCAAATTGGTGGATAATGTATCTGATACATGTGCTCTCCCGTCACCAAAGCTAGGACAGCCCGGAGGTCAAGTGCAGAAGGCTGCCTCATCATTCATTGTACCTGTGCGGCTTCAGAGTAATGTCCCAGCCTACTGCTTCCCAACAGTCACATCGTTGCCCCAAATCCTAGTCACCCAGGACCTGTCAAGTCACCCAGTTTGTCAGGCTAATAATTCTGTATTGCCAATCAGTGAAGAGCAAAATTCTGTGCCAAAATTGCAAAAAGGCCTCCAGAGCACTTTGCCAAACCTGCAGAAAGAACTTGTTTGTGAAAATACCTTCTCAGAGCTGTGCCAAAAGTCTGTTTTGTCAGAAGCGTTGCCTACAACTCAGAAAGCGTCTGTTGGTCGACTTTCCCCACAACAAGAATCTTCAGCTTCAAGTAAAAGGATGCTTTCCCCAGCTAACAGCCTAGACATTGCCATGGAAAAACACCAGAAACGGGCTAAAGATGAAAATGGAGCTGTGTGCACAACAGATACTCAGCCTTTGCAGCCAGTGAGTTCAAGAGCTAATGATGTTAGTAAACAGAAGAAGCCTGTCTTAGTGAGGCAGGTCTGTACCACTGAGCCTCTGGAAGGTGCACTTCTGGAACTGGATGTTTGCTCCCAAACCGAAAGTAGAAGCGAGCCTGTTAGCTTGTCTGACGCTTTACCAACTGATAATTCTTCCTCAGGCCCTTCCAGATCTGGAGTTACAGAACCTGTACATGAATTGAAAGAATTTGAAAACATCAAGCCTTCTATATCACTAACTCCTACAGTGAGAACTTCACCTGTCCCTGTAGAAACAGCTCATGTTTCTCCTTTGAAAAGTTTAGACAATAACCAAGAAAGACAGACTCCACCAGTGGTTAAGAATCAAGGTGGCAACAACCAAGAAATTAAATCAGCAAGCACACTTGCAGTGTTTAATGTAGGAGAAACTCACCAGAGGTTTTTATCCAGTAAGACCTCAACGAGCTTCACATGGTGTTACCTACTGAGACAGAAGTCATTACATTTGCCTCAAAATGACCAGAAAACTTCAGCATATACTGATTGGACAGTAAGCTCTAGTAATCCAAATCCACTTGGTTTACCTACGAAAGTTGCTCTTTCTCTCCTTAATTCCAAACAGAAGACTGGAAAGTCACTGTATTGTCAAGCAATAGCCACTCATTCCAAATTGGATCTATTGGTCTACTCTAGCAAGTGGAAAAGCAATTTAAGCAAGGTACTTAACTTATAATCTGTCCTCACATACAGTGCCAATGAGTTTTAGCATGTTTTGACACGTTCTAAATATTTTAATTGAAAATGTGTATTTTCATTTTGAATGATAAATTATACTTGATGTGTGTTGTTGTTTGAGAGAAAAGATGATGTTTATTCCAGTAATTGTCAAAATCAGGATTACCTGGAGTCCTTCTGGTAAAAGTATCTTGAGAGACTTTTCAGATTGATAATTAATCTTGAACACTTTTTTCTTTCTAATTCTCGGCTGAATATTTAAATATTCACTTGATGGACCTCATAATCAAGATTTTTCTTCCCCTTCTTATGCTAAGATTTTGTTGTGATTGTTAAGTGAGAGGAGGTTTAGTGTTTGCTTTTCCTGGCAAAAGAGTGGTGTGAGGAGACAAAGATTGCTCTGTTTCATTTTGAAAACTAATTTGCAAGTCATTCAGCCTTGTCTTATGATGACAGTCGCATCCTTGATTGTCACCTAACCCAGATGAGACCTGAACCGCCACTTCCCCACCCACCCCATCGTCATCCTAGCTCTCTACCATGATAGTGCAGATGAGAGAAAGACCTAGAAACAATCCTAGGGATTACTGATATTTAAAAGATTAAGTGGATTAAGAAAATCCATGAAAGGAACTGAAAAGTGATCATTTATAAAGAAAGGAACAAGAAAGATGTAGCATATAAATCGAAATCTCTGCATTGAGTTGCATGATGCAGATGGCTAACATTCCCAGCTGGTAACTGAGATGTTAGAGGTTTATGTCTACCCAGAGGCTCCAGTTGCACTAAGGCATCCTAGGATGGTACAGATGACACACGTGCTCAGCTGTTGATTGAAAGGTGGTTGTGGTTGTGTACCCTCCGGTCGGAATGACCTTTAGCTGGCCCTCCAGTGGGTTCTCAGAGACAATAAATTGCGAAGGAGAAGATTTCCTATCTTTTTCCCTCAGAAGCGCTGGTGGATTCAAACTGAATACTTCTGGGTGGGTCACACAACTCCTCACCGCTGAGCCACCAGAGCTCCCTAACTGAAAAGTTAGATGTTCACATGTACCCAGAGCAGACACTTTAGAAGAAGGACCTAGCGATTGACTTCTAAAGTATGAGCCATTGAAAACCTTAGGCTGGAGCACAGTTCTACTCCCACGGGCATGGAGTGTCCAGAGTCGGAATTAACTCGATGGCAGCAGTCAAGTATCTTTAGAGAGTTGAGTGTGTGGGTAAGTGGATATGGAGGATCGGGCACTGGGCTTGCTTTTACCTCTAGACCAAATGTTAGCAGATTTGTGATTCAAACAGGAAGAAGATACAAATGCTAAAGGAAAATAGTCTCTAAGAGAAACAAGTAATCAATAGCATGCAATGCCGTTGTGTGGTCAAGCATATAAAAACCAAAACCCAGACTCACTAAGTTAATCCTGAGTCTTAGTGACCAAACATCAGGTTTCTAAGGCTGTAAATCTTCAAAGGAGGCTGCCCATCTTTCTGGTGATGTTACTGATGATTTCAGATAGCTAAAGATGTGTATCATTTTGTTTAGCAGCACAAACAGACTGCCACCAGAGCTCCAGGGCTCCTGCATGTAAAGACCGAGGAAATGTTAAAAGTTTGGGCAGTTAGCTCACTGGTAGCTCTAGTGAACTTCTGTAGTCAGATGCCAGGAAGCCACTAAAGAAATTGGATGGTAAGGAAATTAATAAAAGGTAGATGTTTGGAAGGGTGGAGGATCAACAAAGGAGAGGAAGACCCTAAGGTGGAATGACAAAGTGACTGCTGCAGTGGGCTCTTGTGTGTCAGGAGGTGTGAAGATGGCGCAGGGCAGAACAGGATTCAGATCTTTCATTCATGAGGTCACTATGACTTAAGGTATTCTACTGGACAGCACATAACAACAACAAACAACAGGTACTTGATACTGAAAAGAGGGTGAGAAAGCAGTTGGTAGTAGTTAAATCATGAAAAATATGTGCATATCTTCCAAAATGTAAGACTCACTTATTTGTCAAGTAGAGTTTGTGCATTTTTTTTTTCTGTAGGCTTCAGTGCTTTTACTTGTGATGACACCTTCTGAGGAACAAGGGCTAGCCCCAGAAAACTTTTCTGTTCTCCTCTCTTTGTACTGACTGGGGCTTCCAGGGTCCCTTCTCTAAGCCACATAGCTCCTCTCCCATAATGCACACTTTCTCATCATTTACAGTATTAAATCATCTGCATGAGATAGCAGGATATAGGGAGAGCTTTATATAAGATTAGGAATGTTTTGTATTGAACTCAACAGAGGATTTGGGTTTGAAGCTTTACTGTTAACATTTTCATTTTAGGGAGTAATTTAACTCTGAGAATGTCCTTGCTCATTGGATTGTAATTCACTGATGAGAGTTAAATGGAATGATAAGTAAGAAAATAAGGGGAATATTTAAGTATTGTAAACTGTGCAATTGTATAAAGTTGAAAAGGAGATATTTTAATAGGAAGATTTTAGTTGTGCTGCTAACCTAAAGGTGACCAGTTTGAATCAATTGGTGACTTTTGAGGGAGAAAGGTGGATGGACAGTCTCCGCCCATGTGGTTTACAGTTTTGAAAAACTTGCTGGAAGGTCAGCTGTGAGTCTGCGAGTCACATCCAATCTATTATGTGTCATTGTAGTTTTCATTCCTCTTCTCCAGAGATTTAATTATCAGGCTATATGTCAACTTCTCATTTAACCTGGACATTTTAAGTTACTAGTATATAGGAACTTTGGGAGAAGATAGGAACCCCTTGGGGTGCTAGTGGTTAATTGCTCAGCAGTAGGCAGAATGCCTGGAACTTAAGGCCACATTGAAGCATGTCAGAAGAAAGGCCTGGCAACCTATTTCTAAAAGATCAAGCCTTGAAAACCTTGTGGAGCTATGACACACAAGATCTCTATTAGTTAAATCTATGGCAATTGTTTTCTGTGTTTTGAGAAAATTTACAAAGCAGTGATAATTATGCATATGATAATTAGGCATAAAAGAAGGGAGGAAAGACAGCATAGGAATAAATAGGCTTTGAAGGAGATTTTGCCATGTGTCTCAGGAGTTTAAAGATTATTCAACCAGAAGAGGTGAATAGTTCTATCTCTGAAGACTAAACTCTTTAAGAAATGTACTTAAAGCAGCATTGTAAGGAGTAGTTTAGATACAAGAAGGTATCTAGTTGGTTTGGTTGTGTTTTATTCTTGTTGCTTGCTTGTTTTTGAAAGACAACTTTCCTATTAAACTTTGTGGAAAACCATAGTAGGTTTTTAAGCTTTTATTTAAGAGAGGCAGAATAGTTTATTGAATCTTTAGCATAACACTTACCAGCCTACCGTGGTTTGATTTACAAAGGTACAGCAAGCGGGATGATGAAGCATTTGAGTGTGAAGTGTGCTGTTTATTTGAATTACATTTCATTAAGTAATTGTATACCAGGGTACACTGCTTTATTTTCATTTCCATTGAAACTATAGCATGTTTGTGTTTTCGGTCTTGTTAAATTAGTTTCTCTGTTTGTTTTTTTTTTCCTTTCAGAGAGCACTAGGTAATCAAAAATCCACTGTAGGTGAATTCAACAGTAAAGATGCCTCAGAAATTAACAGTGAGCAAGATAAAGAAAATTCCTTAATCAAAAGTGAACCAAGAAGAATTAAAATATTTGATGGAGGGCAAGTACAAACTTTACTTCTTAAATGTACATTTAAACTTACTTTTTAAATGTACATTTGCTTTCTTCTAAGTGAAGACTTAACAATACCAGTTTTAATAAATGTCACAAAGTCTGTCAGCTTGTCAGAATGAGGGTGCTGGGTTTGCTTAAGCCTCTCAGTTGCTGAGAAGCTGGCAGTTGGAACCTTCCCATCAGCTCCTTGGGAGAAAGACGTGGCAATCCACTTCTGTAGAGATTCCAGCCTAGAAAACCATATTGCAGTTCTATTCTGCCACAGGGAATTACTGTGAGTCAAAATTGGTGCCTTGACGCCTAACAGCAACAGGCAAAATGTCCGGAAGCAAGCATTATGTTGAAGAATTCTATTTTTATGGGGGAAACAAATAATGATTATTTAGGAAACACTGTGGAGTCCTAGAGGCAACTACTGGAAGAAGTAAGGAGATCCTTGGCTTTTACAGCAATTGACAGCAAAGAACGATTTGGAAAAATCTAGAGTAGAAATGAATTCTTTGTGTATTTGATATCTGTGCTTTTTTTAAAACAAGCAAATTGTATACTTCAACAAAGTTAAATCATTTCTATAGGATTTTAAAAATTTAAAATTAAAAATAGCATTGAATAAGATTTGATTAGAATTAGCAGTTACAATATTCAATGTTGATTTGAAAAACTGAAATATTCTGTTACACATAAGAGTTTTTATTGCTTGAATATAAACATTGTGTCATGTTTGGTTTTATTTTCTAGTGAATTTTAATCAGCAGTATTTTCTCAGAGACATAATGTCCACTCCCCTCTTTTAAATCTTCCATGTAATCTTTTTCTTGAAATTAGATATAAATCAAATGAAGAATATGTGTATGTCCGAGGCAGGGGAAGAGGAAAGTACATTTGTGAAGAATGTGGAATACGTTGTAAGAAACCTAGTATGTTAAAGAAACACATACGAACTCATACTGATGTCCGCCCCTACCACTGCACTTACTGTAACTTCTCCTTTAAGACAAAAGGTATGAGACACACATTGCTTCCCAGTCCTTTTGTGTATTGGTGGATACCGCTGATGCCCAACTCTAGGAGTTATTTGACCAAAGATACAATAGCTTAAATAGACAAATAGAAATTGTGTCTTACCAACACTGTAGTCTAATTTTCTTTTTTTTCCTAGACTTTTGGAAGAAGGGGTTTAACTATACATTTTTAGAAGTATCTATGATGTTTTAAAAGGAGCAGCTGACTTTGCCCCCTTTATTTTAACTTCCCAAATTATAGTTTCACAACGTAATGACTAATACATTTTCACAAATACTTTGCGGCCAAGAAAGAAAAAGAAAATTTAATAATCCTAAATAAATTCATTTGGATATTAAATCACTGAAGATTTAAAGTAGTAGCTTTTATAATGGTCATGTAAATATTTTCTAGTTTTTTACATGCATAGCCAGTTTTTCCCATGTGCATTTGTAATTCCAGTATTACTGAATTTCATCATCAGAAATTTTCTGAGTTTTGTACTGTTTAATACTTTACATAGAAAATTTAGAAATAGTAAAAAATATATTTAGTGCCCTTTCTGCTTTACCTATATATTTTTATCAACTTATATGTCTTCATTGTAGTTAATGAAATTTTACCCTTTAACATATCTCCTGTTCCTATAATAACTGTAATACCAGGAAATGTTGGTTTGCTTATTGGGCTTATTTCATAGTGATAATGCACCATTTTGTCACTAGGGAGTTTTGTTTCATATACTACCCTTAAAAGAATAAGAATCGCTCTAAAACAAAGCAAGGTAGTAATGAGTTCAGGGTCTAAAGGACTGTTAGTAAGAAAGTATCCCATTGATCATTTTCTCTACCCAAATCATTTAAAGTTTTATCATTTTCTGTTAACATTTACTTTTTCAGAATTATCTTGTTTATATTTCAGTTTTACTTTAAGTTTGAGGAACATTTTAAGCAAAACCTGTACTTTTTGTGAACAATTTAACATTTCGTTGTTTTTACTGACATTTTAAACAATTGTGTTAACAACTAAATAGCTTCAACTCAGTTCCCCTTAAGTGTTGATAGTACCTGACACAAGAATGATCAAAAATCAGAGTTATCTTCTTAAGGAAGCTTTGTGATTTCCAGAAAGATTGAAAAACTCAAAAGAAGTTAGAGTACTAATTAAGCAGTTCTTAGCTTGTGACTTAAAATCTCCTTCCAGAGATAGAGAAGGTGAATATCAGAATGATTATACTGGTCCTGAATGAGGACGTTGATTGGATAATGTTTTGATTTTGAACTCAAGTTACTAATTTATGACTGGTTTTGATCCAGTTAATAGCTGAGTATTACCAACACTAGGAATATTTTAAAATGCTACTGTCAAAAATAAGAGATTATCGGGTACAGAATGATGACACAAAAGATAAGAAACCCAAGGTGTCACAAAGGAAAGGAATTAAGGATATTTTTGCAGTATTCATAAAATTAAGGATAAGAAAGGAAGAAAAATCTTGAATGTGAGCAACTCAATAAAATTACAAGATTTCTTGGCAGGGAAAAAATGGTAATTCACCAAATATTACTGTTAGTAAAAGAATTAAAAATTATATTAGGTAAAATTTTAGATGTTTATTAAATTGTTGACCAAACCAAAATCCAAACTCATTGTAGTCAAATCATGCGTTAATAGTTTTCATGTCTTAACATTTCTCTAGTATCTTGCATGTATTAATTTTCACAAATTTTTTTGTTTTGTCAGATAATTCTTGTGTTATGTAATCAGTATTTAAAGGAAGTGGGAATGATTATTAGGGCTGGTTATTATGAATTTGTTTAAACTAAGTCCCATACCAGTTCTTAAAAAAGAAATCACAGCAGTAATGGACCTGCATTTTGGTTGAGCTATAGATTTTGCTTAGGTTTAACTTTATTTTCCTAGCCAATCCATTTCTAATTATTATAATGTGTCTGGTCATTAATAGAAGAAAATAATATATAATGTCATGCTGTATAAATATGTTGGGAGCTCTGGTGACTTACTGGGTAAAGAGCTGTGCTGCCAACCTAAAGACGGACAGTTCAAAACCACCAGCAACTCCACAGGAGAAAGATGGGCGGTCTCCTCCCATGTACTTTACTGCCTCTGAGCACCTGCTGGATGGTCAGCTGTTAATCAGTTCTGACCCAATGACACAAAACAACAACATATAAAGACTTAAAAATTTATCAAAAGGAGTGTATGTAGTACTAGAAATGGGTATTTCTAATATTACTGCTCAAAACAAGTCTATACACCATGATTTGTTCTCTTAGTTTATTATGTTTTCAAAATAATGCTTTATAGATTTTTTTTGTCACTATTCTGCTTTGGTGGTCAGTTAACAAAAAAATACTCAGCTTACATTTCTGCAGGATTTACTACCATTAGTAGCACAAAAAGCCAGGCTCGGCATAGCTGTAGGAGTGCAGAAATAAGTCATGAAATGCTTTTTGCAAAGTTGCAAAGTGTTTATTAAGAATTTCTCTATTAAAAAAATTTCTCTATTAAATTAGTACACAGTTTGTACCATTTTAAATATTTGCATATTTAAAATGAAACTGGTTTTATGAATTATCTAGATAGTTGGTTAATAATAAAACATAAGTTATGAGGGCTAATTAAAAACTTGTATTCTCATCTTTTCCTAGTAACGCTTATACATTAACTTCTTCAAAAACACCTGCCATAAGTATTTGAGGAACAACATATATTAAAAGAGAACTATTATTACAATTTAAAATTATTAAAACTTTTAATTTGGTCATGATATTGTTACTATATTGAAAACGTGGATTTTTTTAAGTGAAAATTTCAGGCACATTAAGATAGCTAAGCTTTTTTTTTTAAAAAAATACAAAATTTTGAAGCATACAGGAAGTAAACATTTCTAAAACCCAACACTCAAGCTTGCCCATCATCTGCTTTTTTACCTTCACCTTTTTATAATTGTTAATGATGTATCATATTTATCTTTTAAATATATTTAAAGTAAATCCAGATTTGGCCAAACTACCAAAGTTTGGAGGACCTTAGACATCATCTGGTCCAGCCATGCATCTTAACTTTTAATTCCTTGTTAGCATCCTGCTTTAGGTTGCTATATAATTGGCTCAGCAGGTGTAAGACTTACCTCATAGAGACAGTTGTACAAATGTTGTGCTTGAAACTCCCATGAAAAAACAATAACACAAGGTTAAACTTTATTTTTTTTAATAATTTTTTTTTAATTTTATTATTTTTGTGTGCGTGTACCATCAAATCAGATCTGACTGGTACAGGAGGAGATTGCCCCTCCTTCCCCGGCAAAGCATCTGGTGGATTCGAACCGTGCACCTCTGGGATTGTAGTTGCAGCTTCTTGCCACTAGGCCACCAGAGCTCCCCTACAAGGTTAAACTTTAAAAATTTAAAAGCATACAAAGAACATACTACTATGAGAGTGAATCAGCAAATGTAACAAATGGAAAATTCATACTCCAAGGACTACAGATAATAGTGCAGTCTGAAAAGTGTTTAAGGATACCTCAGATGTCCTAGGGAACTCTGATGACAATGAGTTGCTCTGTCACACTGCTCCAAAAGCACACTTTGAATCCACTAACTGCTTCCCGGACACTCTCTTTCCATATGATTACCTGCCTCTGAAAACCCACTGGAGGGTCAGCTGTGGGTTGGTTCCAACTGGATGATACTGAACAACAACAAATTATTCTAAGAAGTCAATAGGAATTAGAGTAAAAAGCTTTAGGAAAAAAACAAAGTAGAGAGCACACTTTAAAACTAACCTGTTATTAATAAGTAATAAAGTTAATACAATGTAGAGATGTAGAGATAATATTTTCTTTCATTGATATTTAATCATTGGAATTATCTAACTGCAGTCTAGGGTGATGTCTTTATGCTATTGTTTGCTTTATTTCAAATAGAAATGGAGTTTGCCAGTGTTGACAAATGGAGTAGGAAAATTGTACTATATAAGCTTAGTAAACTTTCTTTTTCCTTAAGGAAATCTGACAAAACATATGAAGTCCAAGGCACATAGCAAGAAATGTGTGGATTTAGGAGTCTCAGTAGGTTTACTAGATGAACAAGATACAGAAGAATCAGGTAAGGCTTCATTCTATATCTTTTTATAAAAAAACAACAGACCCTGTTTACAGAGTGTGTGTGTGTGTGTGTGTGTCATTTATAATTCTTCATTCCCTTTTCATTGATTATGCCTGCTTTGTGTTTTCATTGTGTACTGATCTTTTATCCCATGTTTTGTTTGTCTTCATATCCATCTATCTTGTTGATTGCCTTCAAGTTGAGCACGACTCATAGCAACCCTATGGACAAAAGGCCTGAAGCCCCTCTACAGCCATTGACATTTATCAAAGTTCATAGAGTTTCTGGAGGCAAGTTGTTTAGAAAGTGGATACCACTCCTGCTTCCAAACCTGTCATAATATTGTTGTTATGTGCCATTGAGTCACCTGTGATGTATAGTGACCCTATATACAGCAGCTTTGAACCCTTCCCTGTCCTGAGCCAGTCTCACTCCGACACACCAACCCCCATCATCCCAGTTACTGAAACAATCCATCTCATCCGGGGTCTTCCTCTTCTGCGCTGCGCCTCCACCCTTCCAAGCATGATATCCTTCTCCAAGGACTGATCTCTCCTGGCCATGTGCCCAAAGTAAGTGGGGTGGAGCTTCAAAATACTAGCCTCCAAGGAAAAATTTGGTTTTACCCTCTTATGAATGTAGGAAAACTGAACATTGTAGAGAAAGAAATGGAACACATAAATACTAACACACTGGGTATTAGCGAAATGAGATGGATTAGCATGGGACATTTTGAATCCATTTATCCTAACTAATGTTAAATTAGTATCTTCTTCCTAAGGCAGGGGCCTACTCCTGCCCCACCATTGCTGAGACTCTCTCATTCATTCCCATTTGCATTCCAGATAGCTTCTGAACTACTTGACTTTGCACTCTCAGGCCATTTTGTAATCTGATCCCTACCTGTTCTTCTCTCTTATTCTTCTGTCCTTTCTTCTACCCCAGTGCTTGAATTTCCTGGCACTTGGCACTTCTCTGATTCCCTGTCCTAGTCCTACAACAGTCCCTTAATACCCTCCTTCATTCCTCATGCAAACTTGGCTCTCCCTCTGCCCATTTCTATCTGTTCCTTGTCTTTAAAGGCCTAGTTCAGATGCACTTCTTCATAAAGGCTTTCTCTCTCTTTTTTTTTTATTTTGGTAGGTGCTGCTTTTATTGGCTCCCAGTCTATCTTTTTTTTTCTTTTTAAATTTATTTGCTTTCAAAGTTCATATGCTTTGTGTTTCACACGATTCTTCGTTCACATTGTGTTTCATACACTCATTCTCATGCATTATGTTTTATAAAATTAATCATCTTTGGACCTTGCCCATCATTACAAAGCCTTTCTATGTCCTCTTCCTGCTGTAGTCACAGGAGTCAACTTTTCATTTCACTCAATGCCTGTAATATTTTGGGGTTTTTTTCTCTGACAGCATTCAGCCTTCCCTCCTCATTTGTCAATATGCCCCTGCTTGTGTGACATGCTCACTGTGAGGCTTCACTGAGAGAACAAGCACAGGGTGGCCCACTGAGTTCTCTCTGCTTCACCCAGCAGCTAACACAGCACGCCTCGCACATGGTCCCTGCTGTCAATATTTGTGAAATGAAGCATTTGTTTGCTTCCTCAAACATCAGTTATTTTAGAAATATTAACCTGTTGTTTTGTTTTTTTTTTAACAGCACTAACTGACCAAATCTATTTATCTCTTAACTAGTTTTGGAGGAAAATAAACCTATTCGTTTGTTCTAATCAGAGGATAGAAATATCTTTTTTTCCTAATGCTTTATTTTAAACTCCAGGATTTATCAACAAATCTCATTGTTGTTGACTCAAAACTGACTCATAGCTGACCCTTTGGTGGGTTTCCACTAGGGCTCTAAGGGAGAATATTGCCTATCTTTCTGCCTTGAAGCCACTGGCAGATTTAAACCTCCAGAAAGGAGGGCTAACTAGTTGGGATAAATAGCAGCCCAAATCTTTAGAAATTAGGCCACAAAGAGATAGATTGTGGCCTAAAATGGAGAGAGATGCTCTTCTGTTTAAAAAAGCCCAAACTGACCTACCTCAGTATTTACCCACTATATTTAATGTGATGCACATTTTTTTGTTATTTAAAAAAAAATTCCAAAGCAAAAATGGTGAAGCTATCATTAAAACAGAAGTGAAAAATCAAATACCTTTCATTCCACCTGACTGGCAGGAACACACTAAATGAATCATCCTGAACGTATTCTCAAAGATGCAAGAGAAGTGACTCACATCTTACATGGTACAGTTGATATGAGTTAGTATTTTAAATACATATAAGGGGGTAAATTTAAGTGCTAGGGAGAATACACATTTTCTTAATAAAAGAAAAAGATAACATTTCAAGAGCAAGTTTCGGAACGTAAAGAGCTTTGTTTCTGTTTTATAAATGGTGATGCTTAGACACATGTTGTTGTTAGGTGCCGTTCAGTTGACTCTGATGCATCGTGACCTCGGTGTATAACAGAGCAAAGTGTACCCGATCCTGCGCCATCCCTGCAATCTCTGCTGCTGAAGCCCATTGTTGCAGTCCCTTTGTCAGCCTGTCTTGTTTGATGGTCTCCCTCTCTTTTAGTAACCCTTTTCCAAGCATGATGTCCTTCTTCAGACTGCCACCTCCCATAATATGCCTAAAACATGTGAGATAAAGTCTCATCAGTATTTGAAAGTACAGGTCACCCTAATATGAGTAATTCTTTTTCCTTTTGGTTGGTGGGTGTTATTGAGTCAAGTATGAACAACAGATCTGTACCCTATCCTGTGCCATCCTCACAGTCTCTGACACACTCAAGCCCATTGCAACAGTCACTGTGTCAGTCTACCTGGTTGAGGGTCTTCCTCTCATTCGATGTTTCACCAATTTTCCAAGTAAAATGACCTAGGAACATACTTACTAAAAAATTTTTATGACATGAACTGATAAAAAAATTATTTTTCATTTGTTAGGATTTTTTAGTGTCTTTGTTTAAAGACACCAAAGCATTGAACTATTGTCACTTATATAAACAGTACAGTCACTTTATTTTCTGCTCTTAGTAATTATTTGATACATTAATTACCATTTTTTTTACATTGCAAATGATTTATTTTTTCATTGTTGCATTTTCTTCCCACCATTAACTTTTAAGAGACAAAGTTCCTCTTATTTTGCTTTATTTCTGTTATATTGAATAATTCAGAAGGAAAACTGTGTTAACAGTGTAAAAAAGAATATTTGTTGCCCACTGACTAGAAAAGATGCAGGTTGATGGGTGGTGCAAAACATTAAGTTCTCAGAAGCTACTAACTGAAAGGTGGTTTGAGCTGCAGCAGAGGCACTGCAGAAGAAAGGCCTTGTGATGTGCTCCTGAAAATCCCGCCATTGGAAACCCTCTGGGGTGCAGTTCTACTCTGACACACACAAGTCACCGTTAGTCCCAGGCAATTGAAAGAACAATTGATTGCTATGTGAAATACCAATGTCGGCAAATGGTTACTGTAAAGCTGTAATAATTTTAATGTGTACCCACAAATATTTGTTTTTTAAGATTGAGTCTTGATAATATTGTTGTTATGTGTCATTGAGTGGCTTGCGACTCATAGCGACCCTATGTACAACAGCCCTAAACTCTGCTCTGTCCTGTGTCAATCCCACTGTCTCTGACACACCCATCCCGAGTACCCCAGTCACTGAATCAATCCACCTCGTAGAGGGCCTTCCCCTCCTGCTCTGTCTCTCCACCCTTCCAAGCATGATGTCCTTCTCCAAGGATTGGTGTCTCCTTACAACATGTCCAGCGTATGTTAGATGAAGCCTCAGAATCCTTGCCTCCAAGGAGCCACCCGGTTTAACCCTTTCCAGGATGAATCTGTTTTCCTAGCAGTCCATGGTACCCTCAATAATCTTCTTCAGCACCACAGCTCAAAGGCATCAATTTTCCTTCTATCCTCCTTAGTCACTGTCCAACTCTCTGATGCATAACAAGTGATAGCAAAGACCATGGCCTGTATCAGACACACCTTAGTCTCCAGAGAGACACCATTGCTCTTCAGTACTTTGGAGAGGTCCCTAATAGCAGACTTTTCCATTGCAATATGTCTTTTTAATTTCCTGGCTACTGGTGCCAAGAGTGTTGACTGTGGAGCCAAGCAAACTAAAGCTGTGAGCAATCTCAATCTCTTCACCATCCATCCTGATGCTGCCAGTTGGTCCAGTGGTGAGAATTTTTGTCTTCTTGGCATTGAGTCTTGATATAGATTAACTAAAATGTCTCCAGAGTCCTCAGACCTGTTCAGGGAAACTAATTCTTAAATCCTAAATAATCATAGGATTCATAAATAAGGGGCCAATGACTTCATCTATATTACTTGGATCCACAATCAGTGTACTTGGTACCGGGAGTCAGGAGATCAGGAGATAAATTGCATGGGGAAAGTCTACAGTCAGGGGCCTCTCCATATTATTGAGGAACAGTTATAGCATTTGAAGCCTAAGATATGTTTTATTCAAGCCATGGTCTTTTCAGTCACTTGGCTGTGCTCCTGAGAGCTGGACAGGAAATAAGGATGGCAGAAGATGATGCCTTTCAACTGTGGTGTTGTAGAAGAGCACTGCATTATTCCACAAACTGTCAAAAGAGCAGATATGTGCTTCTTGGAGGAAGTAAATCTTTGTCTCACACACTTTGGACAAGTTGCCAGGAGAAGCTGTTCATTGGAGAGGGATACCATTCTTGGTAAAGGGACGGTGAAAGAGAAGAAGACCCTTATCCAGATAGGTTGACACAGTGACTGAAGCTATGGGCTCCAGTGCATTAGAGAATTTGACATGGCATTGGATAGGATGACATTCAGATCTGTTATTGTTCATAGGGTTGCTATGAGTCATTTTTTACTAAATAGTACCTAACAACAGCAAATAAGCGTAGGAGAATGAAGTTTCCATTAACTATCCTGCTTTGTTTAGATGGACTGATTGTCTTACGTGTATGCGTTCATTTCTGTATTTCTC